GCTTGGAGACTGGTAGCACACCTAAGCTAAAAAGGTTCTTCAAAATGCCTGCTTGCTTCTGCCCCTGTTCTTCATTGCTTTTATTTACTTGGACCAAGAATGGTATCTGGGGAAATCACAGAACTCTTAGGCAACTGATGAGGCATCATTAGGATGTTGAGCACATCTTGTAATTGAACCTTCCCTACTGTCAAATCTATATGTGCACATTTATTTGTGCGTATTTGTATAAGTCAGGACATATTTTATGCTCACCAAGGCTGTATTTATTTGTTAAAAATACAGTACATTTTTTATATTTTATTTTAATATATTTTAAAAGGTAATTTATTCCTTTGATAGCACATCTGAATTTTCAGTAGTCATTACTCAAGTCTTCATTGTAACATGATTGTTCAAAAAACATTTTAATTCAGTGGATATAGAAAAGAATCCCCCCCCCCCCCCTTAAAATAATCTAATGTTGTTGCTTTGCAGCCTGAAACGAAGATACAGTTATCCAGCTGTATTTACTCAGTACAACTTATAACATCCAAGTGAAAAATATAACACCATGTCAGAAAAAACCCAGAATCACTGAGTTGGCAAAAGTATCACCCCCTTGTGTCAGTATTTTGTTTAATAACTACCTTTTGCTTTAATTACAGCCTTTAGTCATTGTCATGTTGGAAGGTAAACCTTCTTTCCATTGACAACTTTCTGGCAGAGGGCAGCAGATTTGCCCCATCCATTTTTCCTTCTATCTTGTCAAGTGCTCCAGTCCCTGCTGCAGAGAAACACCCCCATAACAGGATATTACCCCCTCCATGCTTTACTGTAGGAATGCTGTTATTTGGATGGTGAGCTGTATTGGTTTTCCACCAGACATATTGTTTGGTGTTAAGGCCAAATAATTCAATTTTAGTCTCATCTGCCTCAGAATCTTCAAGGTGTGTTTTGGTAAAGCTCAATCGTGACTGCATGAGTCCTTTCTTGGCTTTTTTTCTTGCAACCCACCCATTCAAGCCACATTTGTGGAGAATTTGTGATGTTGTCACATGCACATAATGACCACTCTGTTATAAATTCCTGCAGCTGCTTTAGAGTTGCTGTAGGCCTCTCTCAGCAGTTTCCTCCTGGCTCTTTCATCCAGTTTGGAGTGACGTCCTGATCCAGGGAGGGTCTGTGTTGTATCAAATACCTTCCACTTCTTAATAACAGTCTTCACTGTGCTATTAGGCATTGATAAAGCCTTTGAATTTTTTTTTTGTATCCATCTCCTGATTTGTGCCTGTCCACAACTTTATCCCGGAGATCTTTGACAGTGCCTTGCCACCCATAGTTGCTTGTTTGCTTCTGTTGCACTACCAAGGATTGAAATGCTCCAGGAAAGCTCTTTTCATGCTGAGCTAATCAGAATGGCCACAGCAGAAATCACAGTTGAAAGACAAATGGTTTGTGTGCCATTGAGAAGGTGAGTAGCTACACCTGATTGATTTTACAAGTCATTTTTTGGAAGGGGGTGATCCTTTTTCCAACTCAGTGATTTCAGTTAAATAAAAAAAATTCTGACATGTTGGTGTTATATCTTTCAATAACATTTCATATTATTATCAATGTTGAAAACCATTGTGCTGCTTATATTTTTATGTAAACTGTGAACTGCAGGGCTCCAGACTAACATTTAAGAGCAGTGGCACCAGCGCCACTAAATTCTACAGATGGTGGTGCCAGGAGCAGATTTGGTAGTGCTGTGCGGGAGTATTAAAATATAGATCATTTAATCATAAAATTACTATTGTTTTGCATTACTTACTAATAATATTACATGTTAATTTCTTGTTTATTTTTCTTTTGTTTATTGTTTATACAGATTTGACAGTAAAGCACTAAGCTTGAGTTGATGCATACAAAATGTACTTTTGTTTACAGTAACAGGTGCAAAATCTATTTTTTTATATAGAAAAATTATATATTCCACTCTTATTAAATGTACCATTATTCTTCGAGTATATGGAACTGACCAACTTCAGTGATTGTGTGATTTAGTAGCAAATTGAAAAGTTTGTTTTTCAAGGCACTTTGTGACTTTTCTTATTTCATACACAAAGTGTAACTCATGCATACAATGACTGATCTGCTAGACATTTTAATAAAAGTTTAATAAAAGTCATGTCCTGAACAAAAACCCATGCCCATATTCAGTTATACTCATAGTGCCACCTGCTGGAAACAGGAAGTGTCATGAATCATAGCGCCACCAGCTGGCAGCAGGAAGTTTGGCACATATGAATGACTTTGACATATTCCTACCATATTTACCACTTATTGCATATTGCCCACTGTTTGCTGTTTTCCTAAAGCCACCGGGTGGCAGTGAGCCCGGGTGCGAGGGCCCGTTCATCGCTGCTTGCAGCTTTAATTTATAATTGTTATTTTATAATTTCAAAATATAGAGGAAAAAGTTGAAATGAATGACTTATAAGCCAATAAGTGCTCCTCTGCTGCCGTCTACTTGTTATAATTGTGATATGATGTATTTGTGTAATGAAGTGTTTGATTACCACAAAGTATGCTATATTTTGGTCATCCCATTAAATATAACATTCAAACTGGATAATTTTAGAGCTTTAAAGTGCTGGAAATAGTTGTGTGAAATGCTCTAAAGTCATTGAAAAGTGCTTGAATTTCTCTCTCAAACGGTTGTACAAACCCTGAAATGAATGATGTAATGCATTCGACTATTTCTACCACAACACCATGCTTCCAGTTAGCTTTACCACTTCTGGTTTCCGGACGTATGTCAGTGCGGTTTATAACAGAATTCTGTGCAGAATTTGAATGATTCTCACTAGATCTCGCAGCAACCTTGTCATTGTGCGGCGAATTTAAACGCTTCAAACTGGATCTCGCAGAACTGTTGCATCTGTGCAGTAACCGAGTTGCGAAATCAACTTTGGCTCCCGAGTAAAGCTGTTCTGAGCTCGGACAAGTTTGTTTGCGTCGCGGTCCGAGCTGCGCAGCTGAAACGTAGCGCGGTTTAGTTTAGCCTTAGTTCCGTTTGCCGTTTGATGTTTCTCAAATGCAACAGAAATGGCAGCGCTTATGAGTTGAACGACGCGGTGGTCGCGTCGCAACCGCTCACAAAAATTAGTCGCAGTCTGGAACCCTGAACTGTGATTTCCAAATTTTTTGATGAATTGAAAATTTAAAATAACGAGTCCTGGCCAGAACACATCTTAAGGCCAATATTCAATAATAATCATAGCGCCACCTGCTGGCAACAGGAAATGACTTTGTATACACTAACTTAAACATGCAATGTCCGATCTGCCCCCCCAAACGTCACGTTTGATAAGAGTCCTGGCCAGAACACATCTTAAGGCCAATATTCAATAATAATCATAGCGCCACCTGCTGGCAACAGGAAATGACTTTGTATACACTAACTTAAACATGCAATGTCCAATCTGCACCAAACATCACATGTTTAGTAAGAATACAGGCCTGAAGACATCTACATGTCAATGTTCTGTAATAATTATAGTGCCACCTGTTGGCAACAAGATATGCCATGCTTTACACTAACTCAAACATACCATGTTCAATCTGCACCAGACTTCACATGTTTAATAAAAGTGCTGGCCTGAAGACACCTACATGCCAACATCCAGTTATAATCATAGCGCCACCAGCTGGCAGCAGGAAGTTTGGCACATATGAATGACTTTGACATATTCCTCCTATATTTACCACTTATTGCATATTGCCCACTGTTTGCTGTTTTCCTAAAGCCACCGGGTGGCAGTGAGCCCGGGTGCGAGGGCCCGTTCATCGCTGCTTGCAGCTTTAATTTATAATTGTTATTTTATAATTTCAAAATATAGAGGAAAAAGTTGAAATGAATGACTTATAAGCCAATAAGTGCTCCTCTGCTGCCGTCTACTTGTTATAATTGTGATATGATGTATTTGTGTAATGAAGTGTTTGATTACCACAAAGTATGCTATATTTTGGTCATCCCATTAAATATAACATTCAAACTGGATAATTTTAGAGCTTTAAAGTGCTGGAAATAGTTGTGTGAAATGCTCTAAAGTCATTGAAAAGTGCTTGAATTTCTCTCTCAAACGGTTGTACAAACCCTGAAATGAATGATGTAATGCATTCGACTATTTCTACCACAACACCATGCTTCCAGTTAGCTTTACCACTTCTGGTTTCCGGACGTATGTCAGTGCGGTTTATAACAGAATTCTGTGCAGAATTTGAATGATTCTCACTAGATCTCGCAGCAACCTTGTCATTGTGCGGCGAATTTAAACGCTTCAAACTGGATCTCGCAGAACTGTTGCATCTGTGCAGTAACCGAGTTGCGAAATCAACTTTGGCTCCCGAGTAAAGCTGTTCTGAGCTCGGACAAGTTTGTTTGCGTCGCGGTCCGAGCTGCGCAGCTGAAACGTAGCGCGGTTTAGTTTAGCCTTAGTTCCGTTTGCCGTTTGATGTTTCTCAAATGCAACAGAAATGGCAGCGCTTATGAGTTGAACGACGCGGTGGTCGCGTCGCAACCGCTCACAAAAATTAGTCGCAGTCTGGAACCCTGAACTGTGATTTCCAAATTTTTTGATGAATTGAAAATTTAAAATAACTCATTTTGGTAATTACTGTAGGTTGCAAGACGCTCTGGCTTGCATTCTCCTCCAAAATATTTTTTCCCCAGCTTTATTGTTTCTCATTTTCACTGTCCTGCCTTTGACATGCTGTATTATTTAAGGTATAGTTCATGTTCATAGCACAGACAGGATGGGACGAGTTATGTGCCCAAATGTAATGCTTAAAGTTAGATGTTGGTGCAAATTCCGAACCATATATAAAAACAATAATAACAGTGATACCTATTTTAGCGAACACCACTGAAAATATAGTATGTGGTTATTGTGTGACTGACTATATCTTTGCCTTGCTCTTACTGAAAGGTAAGTGTGCCCACAGAGGTATCAGTCTCTAAGGATGGCTGACCCATGTCCATGCAGTCTGATTCAGGGAAAGGTCACTCCAAGAGCAAACGCCTCCACACCAGTCCCCATGTCTCTCTAGAAGTGCCAGAGGTTGGAGGTATGAAACAGAAACAAACTACACTGTAAAAAATGACTGTAAAAAAAATTTAACTGTAAAAGACTGTAAAAATGCTACAGTAAAAACCTGTTAAATGGTTAACGGTAAATTCACCTACTATATACGGTGAAAAACTGTATTGGACATTACATGTATTGGACATTAATTTTACGGTAGTGTACCGTTTTTGGAAGTGAAATAGGCCGTATAATTTACAGTGAATAACCGTAAATTGACATTCCCAGAATTCCCTGCGTTACATTTCAAATTTGATGTTTTTTTGTTGAAATAACTATGTTTCTTCTTAGTTTTTTCTTATCAGTTTTGTATATTAGGGTTGAGTGTTACACCTAATGTTGTTAAATTAATGTTTATTGCATTATTTCAGTTTCATGTGTGTTACCATGATGGTGTTTGGTGTTTGTGTGAATGACACGGCGCACCTTCTATATATGTTATTATTTAAAAGCTACTTGTGATGGGCTTTTGTTCATCATGTGACTTTCTCATCACCACCTGCATTTGGTGGTTATCAGTGTATTACAAAGGTACAAAACAGATGTCAGTGCTTCAATAGGTTGGTATATAATAACATTTGATCAGTTAATGAAATTACGGTATTTGACTGTAAATTTAAGTTAAACCGTAAAACCTTGCTTAAACCTTGCTTAAAAACGTTGCTACCGTATTTTTTACTGTAAAATTCAGGTAACCACAGCTGCCGTTTTTTTACCGTAAATTTTACGGATTTTTTTTTACAGTGTACATAGTGTTGTTAGTGTTTGCCCTCCCACTTGTAAATACTGTACAAGCAGCTCTTTGATCTGCCAGTTATTTACGTTATGCTGAAAAATGCATTGAGTTTGATGTAATTATGTATTTAAAACGGTGCCAAAAGTGTCTTATTAAACATTGAAAAATGTGACAGAAATCTCCTTAACTGCCACTCAACACTAACATCTAATGCACTCACACTCATTTCCTTTTTTTCTACTTTTATTTTTTTGGAAAGCCAACAAGTAGTGCATTTTTTGAGTGCAATCTAATCGTAGGACCTCTGCATTTGTCACCATTGTATATTTGTGAATATTTTCACACTACTTTTTTGTATTCACATTTTGGCATTCTGGCACTTTTTGCTTTGTTTTTACTTATTAATTTTTTTTAGGGATGCACCGGTATCGGGCCCAATACTGAGCTCCTGTACTCATACTCGTTAAAATGCCCCGATACCAAACGCCGATACCACACAGCATGTGTTAAGTGCCATATCCAGACAAAGAAACACCGACATCAGACAGCAGAATGGAGTTATTAGAGATTAAAGATGTCTACGAAGTATATGCATGCAATGAATATAAAACATTCAGTATTAATGCCTGTATAGCTGATTTGCGCGAGCTGATAAGATAAGCACGCTGAGTGGATTGAGCGCGCGGCGGCGCAAATGCGCGAGCTTGTCGAGTGAATATCCCTTTCTCACAGACATCACTGGGAAGTTTGTAGTTCGGTCGGATATGTCAAAAAGAAGTAAAACGATGCACAAGTTACTTAATGGTAGGGAGGGAGAGAGAGAGAGAGCGTGCGCATTTCTGTTGTGGGATCTTTATTGATGTTCGCTCTTTTAGCACGCATCATTTGGATTAAAACTAAATCGTAAATATAAGACAATTTATTGGGGCATTCACTATAAGCGTAATTTATTTTCACCCTTAAGCATACATGACTTTCTGGCGAAAGTGAAACTAACAGCCTGTGTGAAATGCGCTAGGCTGTACTGTACTTGTCCCTCTCATTCTGCACCAGTAGCCTACAAATACGTGTGCGCGGTGCGCGTTTTGCTTGCTTCATGAGTGTTTCTGCATTATATGAGTGGCTTTGCAAAATAAATCGCTGCACGTTTTAGATAAAAAAAACGCGTGCATTTAGCAGATCATTTATCCAAAGCGACTTGTAGTGCATTCAGGTTATACATTTTTTTTTACCAGTATGTGTATTATGTAAAGTGAGGATAGCAAAATAAACTTACATGTGATATATTATACCCAAAAATTCTTCATACATTGGACTACCAGTAAAATTGATACAAATGTGGGACCAAAAATTATTCAGACCGAGTCTGGGAAAAAATTGTTCAGGTTTGCATGAACCTGGTTGACAGGATGCCCAGGAGACTATATGCTGTCATTAAGGCTAAGGGTCACCCGACAAAGTATTGATAGTTGTGTAAATATTGACAGCTGTATGAATAATTTTTGGTTTATTGTAATCCATTACATACCTTTCTATCAAAGTTATCTGACATTATCAAGCTGAATTTGTTCTTGTCATATTTTATTACCATGTTCTAAACTATAGCGAATAAACTGTGATAATGTGAGAAATGTTGAAGGTGTCTGAATAAATTTTGGTTTGACTATATCTATTTGATAAATGAAGTTAACCAACTAACATTATACATACTCTTTTGGTTTCTGTACCCAATATTTATCAAATTTACAAATGCAATGAAAATATTGGTATCGGTACTCGGTATCGGCAAGTACCAAAAATAAAAGTATCGGAATCGGGCGAGTACTGGAAAAAATGGTATTGGTGCATCCCTACATTTTTTGATCAGTTGTGTTTTTGGGGACCATGTAAAACAAAATTCTTGCAGAAGAACCATAATTGTATTATTCTGCTCTTTCAACAACCTAGCTGACCTAGCTAGACCTGAACTGTGGTGCAAAATGTTTTCTAATCTGAACTTAGTTGGTTGTTTGAATTATTTTTTGCATTATGTGTTTGTGTTTTTTTTTTTTCCAGTTGAGAAAGAGAAGCCTGTCTCAGAGGTGGATATTTCAGCAGACAAAGTAGATTCCTACACAAAACGGCTGGAAATTCACTCATGCATGCTAAATTACGAGCCTTTAGGCACAGACACTGATAAATCACCTCACAATGATTGGGATTCTTATCTGATTATAATCTGCAATTTATAATTTTTCCCTCGCTTGAGTCTCGCGCCTGCGGTCCTGGCTTACTAATCAGTGCTTTCATATCGGCGTTATTGAGTTCTTCTAATGATGTGAGTGAATATTTCATCTGCTCTCCACATGCTCTGTGGACTTAAAGGTCTTGTTTGGGCCCCGTTCACATATTAGACCTCATCATCGATCACACAAATCCGGAGGACGGCAGCAAGTTAGTGCGAGAAACATTGTTAAATTCCACCCAATGGTCTTCAGTATAGAGGAAGTAGAGAAGCATATTGTTGAACTGTAATTTCCGTTACAGGCTCATGCATACGCATGGCGAGGTCTTTGGCTTAAACAAGATAGATAACACCTACAAATGATGGCTGATGCAAATAGCACGGGAGGAAGAATTGACTGAGAAAGTGAGGGGCATGTGGGCAGAGCCAGCCAGCGAACTTACAGCATCTCTGTCCTTTCATCAATGAGGTTAATAGAATTAATTACAGCCCTGTGGCTGGATAAAGGCAATGGCATTTACAGTACATGCAGTGGCTCAGTGTGTCCACCCCTGCTGGGAGACCCTGTAGAAAAAGCAGCTGGTGAGCTGGTTGTAATGACATTTGTTATAGTAATGCACATTCACTGACATTAGCCCTTTAGACAAATATCAATATGTTTATGGTAGTTATGTGATGCTTTTAACAGAGAGATAAGTCTAGTAATTATTAATGTGATGTGTTATGTTACGCAACTTCTGCGAGAATGATGGGGGTTTTGATGGAATTTTTTCATCTAGTTTGACATGCAAAATACTGTCTCGCCATATAATTTGATGTTACGCCATATCATGTTTCATCCAGTTTGGCCAGTCTGTTCATTCAAATCAGCTCATACTCTCATCGCATATGCCCTGCCACATGACCAGTGACAAAAAAATGTACTGTAATTGCTACATTGTTAATAGTGTTACACCATATAAAAAAGACCTATATATATATATATA